CCATGTTGAAGTGGATGGATTAATCAATTGATTGACTGTTAGCTCAGGGTAAAGATTATACCCCTTGCAGGTTGCTAATCTCGGGTATGAGTCCGAAATCCATGGGTAACAATGAATAAAAAATAATTATTTATCAAGACAAACATGTATATTATTTATTTTGGATTTAAAAGAAATAGTAAGTGATGATTTTAGAGTTTTTTGGTTAAATGATGTATTAAAGTTTTTGATTAATTATATTAAAAATAAAATTAATAAATTAGAGGGTATAATCGGATTTAAATTAATATAAGGTATAAAATTACAAAAGTTAGTTTAAAAGGTGTAGATGGACAAGAAGGTACAAAAAACATCCTTTATTTCTAATATTCCCCAAACTATTCTATAACTAGAAGACAGATCGAGATATGGAAAAAGTAGATAAAGGAAAGTAGATATGGATCTGAAAAAATAGATCTAGATCTGAAAAAGGCTCAAATCTACTCACCATGAAGTCTAATGCGAGAAACAGCCACAAATTAGAGAAGAAGACGCGAATGAGCACGTTTTACTGACTCCGACAATTTTTCTGGTGGCGGCAGATGGCGGCTCCGGCAACTACTCCGTCGATGGCAGCGGCGGCTTTGAGGACAAATCCGGCGATGGTGGTCGTGGCCCCGGCGGTTGCTCCGGCGAGAGATTCCGACAAGATTGGGCCGAGCTTCGCCAGAGAATTTCTTGCTGAAAATTCTGAAGGGAAGACTCTCTATTTATACTGGAATGGGGAGGATACCTAGGTTAAAATGGATTGGGCCTTGGGCTAATGAGCATTTGTCTGTAAAACTCTTCATGGGCTTGGGCTAGGATGTCTTACAGATGCTCAAATATTGTTTGTTTGAACACATTTAAATTAAATCTGGATATTACATTTAGATGCAAAATTAAAAATATTAAATTTGCATCTGGATATTTGAGATAATAAAAATAGTAGAATTTAGATGCAGCATTTGCATGTCAAAAATAAAAATACCCCTTAATATCACAAAAAGCTAACTAAACTCATATTTCCCATAAAAACTACAAAATTGCCTTTAAATCACAAAATATCATTTTCCTTTAAAGTGGCAAAATTGAGCTTGTTTGTTAAAATTGTACTTTCCATCAAGTTAATTTTTTTATCAAACTTTATTTTCACAAAAATGTGAATTTATTTAATCTAGAAAAACATTTTGACTATAAATAAAATATAATTGAATTGAAAAATATTCTTTTTTAGTTATTTAAAATATTTTGCATTCATAATTTTTTATGAATTAACAAACGAATAAGTTTCATCTAAATACAAAACTTAGCTTTAGAAATGAATAATATCTAAATGATATATCTACATACTAAATCTAGATGCACTATTCTAGATTAAGAAACAAACAGAGTCTTACTTGAAAGCATTGAAGAGATAGTAATAAGCTTATCAAGTCTTTTAAGTGTTAAAACTATATGGTTTATATCTTTGTATTAATGCAACAATAATGAAAGGGCTTCAACTATTCGAGCAATTAAAGATTTTAACAGCAAACATAGCGGATGTTTTGATTCTGGAAAGTATCCAAAACATGGAGTGGTTGGCAAGTAGTATTCCAGGTCTATGCCTCGGAATATGTCAGAAACGATTGTATGGTTAAGTACAGCAGCTCTGGGTGGTCTTCAGTGCCTTGATTTTGTGAACTGCAGAATCTCAATGATAATGATAGTTTGTGAAAGATAAGAAAGAGAAGAGCTTCAATGTATGAGTTCTCAAGTTGTCAAGCATCTCTCCTCAGTTAGAATATTCGGTTTGAAAGGTTCAAAGGACTTGACCTGGCTGTTTTTCGCTCAAAATATCAAGTACCTAACTATGAGGAATTCACCAAGGATATTAGAAATAATCAATAGAGAGAAGGGAATTAGAATTAGCAATATGCATCCCGATATGGTTATTATCAATACTGCTACTTATTCTCAAGTCTATAGTAGCAGATTAGGACGTAATAATTAGAGAGAATATATACATCCTGTTAATATAACCTAAGAATGAGTTATAAATTAGGGTTTACATTTATACGCTCAATAACCTGGGCCCAAAAACATTTAATTTCAGATAATAATTAAATAACAAAATAACATCAACATAGTAATAGAATCAAATATATGGTCATTTGTTACGTGTATCTTTTTGAATATACAAACAAACAGAAATCAACACGATAGAGACATTGAAAACTATACATAAAAACCGCAACAACAATATTAAAGATATTAAAATTTCTCAGTTTATACACACTATATAACTATTTTGGATATTCTCAAGTATATTGAATAACCTTTTTGAATATACCAAATTATGTTAATATATACGAATATTCATTATATAATATATAAAATTGTAATATTATAAATGGAAAATTCCCCATAATATATGTACTATATAACCACAATGGATATTACCAAATATGTTGAATAATGATTTTGAATATACCCAGTCATATTAATATATACGAATACATCAATGATTATTTTTACGAATCACTAAAAGACACATATTGATCAATACATACAAATCACATATATAACAATATATTAACCACATAATATCTATTATTACTCTGTGAATTAACAATAAGCATGTATCAATTGATATATAAGAACCATATATTTGAAGATATATACATCATAGACATTAACATTTTCAGTTATACAATATACATATATTGAAAAAACCAAAAATCAAGAATAACTAAAATATGATAGACACAAAACATAATAAATAGGAAATACACCAAATAAATATCGAAGATTCAAATAATTTGTAGATTTATAATAATAGAGTATTTAAAATAAAACCAAATAAAAAAATAAAATCACAAAACAGGATCACATGTCCATAGAAAATATTAATGCAATTATTAATCCCTAAACACAACAGGCACCATCGAACCATCATACCAACAACTTGCCTCCCACAACGCCGCAACTACACCTCATCATCATCGACTAAACCCAAAACACGGCATGCATCTTTAAACGTCGGATAAACAATATCATCCACCATCTTTATAGAATCATAAGATGTCGGGCCCTTTACCCTAAGCAATAAAAGCCTCAAGTAATAAATATATCCAGAAGTATCTGGTCAATATGCCAAACGACCCAGTTTACTACCACCACGGCATCTAGGCTTCCAACGTTATTATTACGATCCCATACAAACTTCGTAAAGAACTCTGTGTAAGTCAATTGCCATGCATCCAAGCAGTAAACTTCAATGAATTCGCGTTGATATTCGCACCAGGAAGATGATACAATAGAATATAAGTGCCTACAACAATTAGAATCAAAATCAACAACTCTCACAAAATGACATAAATATAATGGAAATTTAAAATCACAGCCCGTAAATCATAAACACGCAAAGATAAACATATAAAAAATTACAAGACAACGAACTAACCAGTATAACGCATCGTGAATAATAACAAAATACAAGTATGAAAAAATCACGATTTGTATATGCTAGAAAAACGATATATATATATATATATAACATAAAAGAGCAATATATATGAAAACATAGTAAATATATCAACATTACCTTGATAACCAGAAGACAAAATAGCAGTTATCAATAGTCTACACAAAGAAATCACGAGTTATGATCATTTACATAAACAAAATACGAAGATGAAATAATCACAAGTTATATACGCTAGAAAAACGATTTATATATATATACAAACATATAATAGCAATATATACAAAAACACAATAAATACATAAAACTTACCCAGATAACCAGAAGACCAAGCAACAGTTATCAACAATCTCTACAAAAAAATCACGATCATGAAAACCGCACGAGTTAGGATCATTCACACGAACCAAACACAAATACGAGAAAATCACAAATTGTAATCATATAAGACACCAGAAAACTATATATATATATATATATATATATACAAACATAAAAGAGCAATATATATATAAAAACATAATAAACACATCAAACATACCTCGATAACCAGAAAGCCAAGCAATAGAGACGGCAGCCTGAACAAAGAAAAGACAAACATAAAAACAACATGAGTTATAATCATTTAGGTGAACAAATAACGAATATGACAACATCACGAATTATAATAATTTAGGACGATATGAAAGCGATATATATATATATATATATACATACAAACATAAAGGAGCAATATATACGAAGACAACAAAATCCAATCCTAGGTAAGACGAAAACCTAAAAAATCGTTGGTTTGAAGTTTAGATTATGAAAGAAGCAAGAGTATTTATACATACTCGGTAAGCTAGGGCGAACTATAAATATTCATTAGCGAATATATTCGACTGCGGTTCGAAAAAAAAAACATCCTTATCCAACTATTTCATAAAATTTGAAAAACGAAAACCATCCTTATCAAACTAATTCATAAATAAAACCATACTTACCCAAATAATTCATATATTCGAAAAGAACAACCATTCTTATCCAGCTAAACGAACAATCAATCTTATCTCTATCGAACTAACCATTCATTCGATTTAGCAAACCGTGTATAAAACTAAACCAACAATTAGACCATGGTTTTCATTAAGGATATAATTGGAAAAATCGATGCCTAAAGTATGCGGAGAACGAACATTAGCTTGACATGTCGGAAATCTACTTCTCAAATAATAGTATAGATTTTCTAGGATTTTTTTCCTTTCAAATAAATAGATGTTTTAAGTTCTCTCTATATGTTTTTCTGAGTTAATAATGATATATTGTAAATTTTAAGAAAAATATTTAAATTTATTGAATTACTATTGATTTAAATTCAAAGAGAAATGTTAAGCACAAAAAAATAATATATTTATTATTCAGTTTTAATATGTTTTTTTAATATGTGTAAAAACTTCAAAATATCTTTTTTTTTGTTAGGAATCGGAGGAATAGTTTTCTATATTTTCATATAAATTTGTAGATTGTTGGCATGGAAGTGTGTTATTATATGAGAGAATTGTTTCTTTATGTTGTTCACTACAAGGGGTATTAAACATGTTGGTTAATCTTTATTTGTTTGTACAGCCCATCCGAAATCTCAAGTGGATGAGTTTGAGTAATTCAGAGAATCTGAAAGAGCTTCCTGATCTCTCTACTGCAACTAGTTTCCAAGAATTAGAACTCGGGAGCTGCTTAAGTCTAGTGGGGTTACCCTCTTCTATTGGGAATGCCACCAACCTCAAGAAACTGACTCTCTGTGGATGCACAAGTTTCTAAAAGTGGATGCACAAGTTTCTTAAAGCTCCCTTCTTCTATTGGAAATGCTATTAATCTGCAAAAATTGAATCTTAGTTACTGTTCAAATCTGGTGAAACTTCCATCATCTATAGGAAATGCCATCAATCTTAAGGAGTTGTGCCTTATCCATTGCTTAAGTCTGGTGGAATTTCCCTCATATATTGGAAATGCTACTAATCAAAAAGAGTTGGGTTTAACTCATTGCTCAAGTTTGGTGCAGCTCCCTTCGTCTATTGGGAATGCCATTAGCCTCAAGAAATTGTCTCTTTATGGATGCACAAGTCTGGTGAAGCTCTCCTCCTATATTGGAAATGCCACTAATCTCCAAACTCTAAATCTTGGTAATCTCTAATGTCTCGTGGAGCTCCCTTCCTGTATTGGAAACTTCTATAAATTTTTGGAATTGCGTTTCCATATATGCAAAAAGATAGAAATTCTACCAAACAACATCAACTTGGAATCTCTTGGTGAACTTGATCTCACAGATTGCTCCTTGTTGAAAACTTTTCCTTGGATCTCCACAAACATTAAACGTCTCAAGCTCAGAGGAACGTCGGTAGAAGAAGCGCCTTCGTCCCTCAGGTCTTGGCCTTCTCTTGATGACTTGCAAATGTTAGACTGTGAAAACCTCAGTGAGTTCCCACATGTTCTTGAGAGCATCACAGTGTTGCAGTTGAGTGATATAGATGTACGAGAGATTTCTCCATGGCTGCATAAATATCTTGTCTACACAAGCTAAAACTCAGCGGATGCAAGAAACTGGTATCACTCCCACAGCTTCCAGATTCACTATTAGTCCTAGAAGCTGAAAACTGTGAGTCCCTTGAGAGACTAGATTGCTCCTTCTACAATCCACATATGAAACATCTCAACTTTACCAACTGCTTCAAACTAGATAAAGAAGCGAGAGATCTCAGACACCAGCTCGTCACTAGACCATCTTACCAGGTGGAAAAGTTCCTACATACATCACTTACCGAGCCATGGTAGGTTCTTTAACAATGAAGTTGAATCAGAGAACTCTTCCTACATCTATGAGATTTAAGGCTTGCATCTTTCTACTTTATAAGGGTGACGATGTTGCTGGTTATAAAGAAAATATGTCGGTGTCTTATACCGTCATTGAAAAACAGAATGATTTCACCTCTAAGCATATCTCAGGAAACAAGTCTTTTTGGCAACATTTAACGGAGCATTTGTACACATTCGAAGTTGACTTTGAAGTTGAGATGACTTCCAACGAACTTGTCTTTGAGTTCAAGCTCAACAGCGATAAATGGGAGATAGGTGAGTGTGGAGTAATCAAATTGAAGGTCCCTCGTGTTGATGTACCTTTAGATACTGATTTCTAGGATACATTTGATTAATATGACAAAAACTAATGTCGTAGACGAAGCATCATGAGTGAGCCATGACTAAGTTTTGATATGTATTCACTTGTAATCAATGTTGATAGATTTTCTTCTTGTAGCGTTTTTTTTTTGAAGAAATGCTCTAAAATATCTTAAATGAGAAAATATTGTGAAACAGATACTCCAAAAATTGTGAAAATGACTCCTATTTTACGGATTTTTTAAATATCAGCGCTATCCTTTTTAACTACTTTTATTTGTAGCCTAATCGCAAACTGAATGCAGACTACTGACAGATTGATTGGTCTTACAATAGAATGTAGACTATTGGCAGACAACATGAAATTACTGACAGACTAACGACATATTAAAAGCATACTAGTGGACCCCTCTGATGGGTTATTTTAAGAAGGGTCATGTTTTGTAATAAAATTGCCAAGTGTTTTATTTTAAAAATTATCATTATTTGTTAATTTCTTGTTTCTTACTTCTCAAGGATTGAAAATTTTATTAGGTCCTATGTTTTATGTATTACAAGCAATTGCCTCTTTAGGGCTCAAACTTCACATGATTTGCCGAGCACAGTACCTTCACACGCAAGTATCTCGATGCATAATGCCAAGGATTGGTATTAAACTATTTGGTTCCCATCTCTGCATTGGTGAAACATTAATGGAAAAGCTACAACTCTTAGAGCACTTAAAGATTTTAACAGCAAGCGTAGTGAATGCTCTGATTCTGGAAAGTATCCAAAAAGTGGAGCGGTTAGCAAGTAATATTCGAGGTCTATGAGTATGTCAAAAGCTGCTGTAGTGTTAAATGCGGTAGTATCTGAGTAGTTTTCAGTGTTGTTTGTAAAGGCATGCTCATGATATTGATGATCCTGAAAAAAGTGAATGGGAAAGGTTTGGTTCTGACGCAAGCCACCTTCTCTAGAACCCTAACTAGCCATTAAACAGGGTGTTTTCGACCCAAACAGCTTGCAGATCTATTAAATTAGTTAGGTTTGAAAAAAAGGAAAGTAAATATATGTTGTAGAGAAGATTTACAAATACATCCAACAAAGATATTCAAACTTTTCTAACATTTTAAGTTGGATTTTTTTTCCCCTAAACTATGTATCTCCATTCTCTGGTAGGATTTGAATTGAAACTGAGAGATGTTGATGAAACCCTAGGAATGTTTTTCAACTCCTCAGTCAATCTCTCCTTACCTTCAACACTGAAGGTGGATCTCAAGCAGATTGTTGCAGTCTTTAAACATTTTGAGTCTGGTAGAATGTATATCAACAAATCTTTATCTTCTTGTCTTCCTCCATAACCCCTCCACTCAAATAACTCGAGCTGTGACGACAAGCATCCCGGAATAAAACTCAGTTGGTTCCATGAGAGTGGGAGATCCTCGGGTTGACATGTACATACCTGTGAAGCAACCACCAATTAGTCATCTGGGGGGGTGGTTAATACTTAAAAGCTAGAAGAGAAAGAGGATACTTACATAATCATCTAAAATATTTTTTAGTGTTGCAGCATTTCCAAGCAAAAGTATGAACGGTTCCAACCAGTTTGATTCATCTGGACATATTCTTAAATTTACAAGTCGAGAAAAGGTGATGGTGCTACAACACACGAGCTGCAATGAAACAAACAAACAATGTAAGTCGAGTAAGTACTATTTCAGAGAGAGAGAGAGAGAGAGAGAGAGAGACTATTTCATCAGAAAAGAACTCAAGAGTCTTGACCGAGAAAATAGGTCTTAGAAACTTGTCATCACGATATGTATAATCACTGATAGTTGCTGAAACCAGAGGAGGTATATTCTCGATCAAGCAATACTCTTTTGAATGATCAATGAAGATAAAGCACTTCAATCTTGGGGAATCTATCACCAAGCAGCTGTTGCCATTATCTCCTACATTATTGTCGTCTAGAAATTTTAAATACGCGAAAGAAATTAAAGAAGGCACTTTCACACAAAACGTCATCACATGGTCATGCTTGACTCTTTTCACTTACAGAAACTCGAGATTAGGGCAGCTAGATAAGAATCTAACTATAGAATCATCTTCTTTATAGCTAAGGTGAAGACTTTTCAGGGATGGGAAGGAAGCCGGAGAAGGAACATCCAAGAAAATCTTGTGGGAAAGATTGAATATCACGAGAGATTTGCACAAGGAATGGTTCTTAGGCAAGCTGGCCAGATCTACAGGCCAACGAAGCTTGAAGATCCTCCACGCCGTGATTAACAGCGTTTGTAACCCACTTTACGACATCAGCATCAGTAGTGCACCCTGGACCTAATTCCATACATCAGCATCAGTAGGGCACCGTGTATTCTTGGTGCCTTGTGCAGTTGCATTGATTTGTCAAGAAACCACCAAACACTCTTTTTGTTTTCTTCATGACCATCACCATCATCGTCATCCTCACAATCAGCACCAGCACCATCATCATCCTCATTCCCCAACTTCTTCATCATCATCATCATTATCATCATCGAAGTTGCTGTCTTTGTAATCGAGTTTACCTAACATCGTCCAGATAGAGAGCCATCGTTTGGACAGAAACATGGTGGCTAATGCGTCTTTTATTGGAACAAACGAAAATATCCTCAAATGTTAACTTCGGGTAACTCACTAATCATGTCTTCACAAACTCTATCGTCAACACTTCTGCAAGTTTTGGCGGTTTGTGACATCTTTAGATCTTCACGAGTCACGAGATAGCAGAACCCTAATATTTAACGAAAGCAAAAACTAAACTATTTCCCTATTGCAGTTTTCAAGTAATGGTTTTAAATGGTAACACTGTGTAAATAATAATGACCAACCAGATTATGCAGATCAAGCATAACAAATATAAATTAGATTTTAGATTTTAATTATTAATTGTGTGTGAATAGTGCAAAAATGCAGATTGTTTTGCATTACGAGTTTTGATGCATTGATTTTTCTTTCCCATTCAAAGCTTTAATTTTATGATCTACATTTAAAATAAAAGCCCTTTATAGAAAACACAGAACATGAATACTTACAGATCTATATTATTGATACAATATTATTATTTATTTGATGGATATTTATAATATATATTTTTTAAACATGTATTTGTTATGCTTAATATACATAATCGGATTATCTACATTTTTTGAATTGTATCACCATTCAAGCCAATAAGAAACGGAGAGGAGTATGTGGAAAAGAAAAAAGAATGAGAAAGACGAGTATTAAAGAAACCTATATAACTTATGTAATGAATTTTAGGGAATTAAACTATATATTAATGTTACTGTTAATACAATTGTAACGTCATTACAAACATGTGTTCTTATTTCTATTGTGCTCTGAACAATAAATCAGAAACTTAAAAGCAAATATATCTTTTAATAATAAAAATTGATGTTATACGCCTCCAAAGGTATTCATACAGGATTTAAAAGATTCAATTCTATTGGTACACATCATCATCTATAGTTAACTATATATATTCAAATTAATTTATTTATTTTTATCGTTACGAGAAAAATTTCTAAATTTAATTAATTTTGATTTATATTAAAATTAATTAATTTTGTTTTTATTGTTCTTAGGAAAATATGTAAGTTTTATTTAATTTTGTTTTTGTTATTATTAGGAAAGTTTCTAAATTTTAAGGTAGTTATTAATAATAAACAGTTTAGAAAGTAGATAAATTAGATCTTATTTTTTATCAACAAAAAAGTAAATTAACATATTAATAAATTATTACAGAAAATTTTATATATTCAACAAAATAATTAAAAACTGTTGTTCGGGAGCAAATTTTGGGATGCCACGTGAAGATCTGATTAGTTGTCGGACCTGCGGGGGAGATTTGAACTCTGGGAAGATGGGTCAGCCTGCAACGAGAGAACAAAGAGAGAGAGTCTCAATGAACAGAAAAAGGGTTGCCCTTCCGATTACGCTTTGACGCTCTAGTCAGAAAAGACACGTGACTAGACGGAGTGTGTAGAGATATTGGAAGAACTAAGAAACGGAGCGCTCTATCAACTCAGACAGATATTGATAGAGCTTTTAAGAACTTTAGTTATCTGGTGAAATGAAGCTAGAAGATCAAGTTATCGCTCTAGAAGTTCTCCTCCCCTCAGTGGCGCGAGGAGTGGGTTTTATAGTGAATACCTGGTTTCGGGTCAGACCCGGGTCTGAAACATTTAGTTCCCCGGGTCAGGTTCCTACTACCGTCCTTTGTCATCATATTCGACGTGTCCGAACTTTTCCATGCATGCAGTAAGAGTGGTCCTCGGGTTACCGCTGCGTCCGTTGCCCACGCGTTGGGCCTCGTGGGCTGTAATGACATTTTGCAGCCCAACAGTTGCCCCTGACTGGCGGAGCTACTTCAGGAGGTTGGAAAGTCTACCATGCACATGAAATCTTTCAAGGGTGAAAGGCCGCGATGGGCAGGGTTGGACATCATATTTACCATAGAGAGGATCTTGTTACGGTGGTGTAGTCTTTTTGTAAGACTATTTCCGGATCTTCCTGAGAGGTTATCTCTGAAAAGTAATTCCCAGAGGAAGTTACTCGGAGGGCGTGCCCCGGGAAGCTTTCTCGGAAAGACTATTTCGGAGGAAGTTCCCCGGAGGGCGTGCCCTTGGAGGCTGTCTTGGAAAGATTATTCCCGGAGGAAGTTCCCCGGAGGGCGTGCCCCTGGAGGCTGTCTTGGAAAGACTCTTCCCAGAAGAAGTACTCCAGAGGGCGTGCTCCTGGAGGCTGTCTCGGAAAGATTATTCCCAGAGAAAGTTTTCCGGAGGGCGTGCCCCTAAAGGCTGTCTCAGAAAGACTGTTCTCGAATGAAGTTCCCTGGAGGGCGTCCTCCTGGAGTCTATCTCGGAAAGACTGTTCCCAGAGGAAGTTCTCCGGAGGACGTGCCCCTGAAGGCTGTCACGGAAAGACTGTTCCTGGAGGGCATGCCCATGGAAGCTGTCTTGGAAAGACTATTCCCGGAGAAAGTTTTCCGGAGGGCGTGCCCTTGGACGCTGTCTTGGAACGACTATTTCTGGAGGAAGTTTCATGGAGGACGTGTCCCTATAGGCTATCTTGGAAAGACTCTTTCCGGAGGAAGTTTCCCAGAGGGTTTGCAATCTGGTTTCTTGGACCAAGACCCTGAATTGTCAGGTTCTGGGCCCCACCCCAACCGATGCGCCATAGGTGGGTCCAAGTCTGCGGTTGAGGTCTCGTACAGCGAACGTCTGCCTTTATGAAGGGAAAAGATTTTTTGCATATTGGTCCTTGGATTTTCTTATCTTTCTTTATCTTGCCTTTTATGTTAGGACTACGAGTTTGCTTTTGGCCCCTTCCTCTAATGTGTTGTCAATTATCCTCTTTCGCGAGGCGCTTTCTTCATCGTGTCGATTCCAGGAATTTATTTTCCTCTTCCTTTTGGTAAGATCCATTTCTTCTTCGATTCTTTGGTTGGTTTATGCAGCGAATGTCTATGTCGGGTGGGATGAGATCTTCCAGATCCGAAGCTGGATGCTCCTATCTTCCCGTTAATCGTCGAGATGAACCGCTTATTGGGTATGGGGTCGATGATCCCATCCCATTGTCTTCTGCGTATCCTTGCATCTAAATGTGCGGCAAATGTCCTTCTGAGACTCCGGGGGCGGTTCTGCTACCAAGAACCCGGCCGTTGATTGGTGAGCCTTGCAGGAGTCACTTCGCCTGCCTAGTTTGCTGTCACTGGTTTTTTACCGTTATGCCCCCGATTCTCGGCCTCCTCCCGGTTGAATTACGCCTTACGCCGGTTACTGGTAAAATGGCCTTCGATGTTACGTGCCGACTGTCTTGGTCGATTTACGTCCTCTGGGCGGTATTAGCCCTAGCCAGCTGGTTTCCGCCGCATGAGGAATTTTGAGTTTGTTTCAGGTTTTGAGCGACTTATTTGGGATACCTATCCCCG